TCAATTTTCTGTTTACACAAAGTGCCCTGGTGTTGGAGCCAACATTTTGACGATGATCAAAGCCATTCCCATCACCTTCCACTGGCAATGTGAGTGCGAATATACTCCAGCATAAAATTTGCCAACAGAGACTTAGCCACATCTAAACCAAAGGATAGAAAATCACACATCTTTAAATAACACCAAGGCAACACATCTTTAAATAATATACTGGACATGTGTTAACGCTGCTCTGGTTTACAAGACTAAATATAGCCTTAATGGCTTAATTAAATGACTAAAGTTACTGTTCGCGAGCCAAACATTTAGACACTCTTATTAATAGTTTAGGATATTGAGGCGCAATAAGGATGTCCATTTATGATTTGTTATTCAATCACTGCTAAAGATAGACAGAAAACATCGAAACTTAAAACTATATTAAAACTACTGTCTGTGCTATTGTACGGATAGGCGATAGCTACTGGGTTCGGTTCTCCATGAACAATATCGAAGAAAAATGCGCCTACGAGCATTTACTTTGACTTTTAAATAAATAAATTGAAACTACATACCTTCTCCTTGAATGCTCTGGTCATTAAAACCAAAATTTTGAACATAAACTCCCACGGTATGCTTTTAAAACGAAAATATAACCCTCGCTCAATACAATTTATATTTATTCTGGCAGCAAGTTACTGGCCAGAGTAATGGCGGCCGTCGAATTTCCGGTATGCGCGACACGACATGCGCGAGGACACCGACTTCAAAGGATCCGACACTCAGTTGCCCTTCTATTCATTTCTTATTCTATGCTTTCTGCGTTCGCCCACGAACGCGGCATTCTGATTGGCTGTTTGCTGTTGGATACTATAATTAGATCAGAGATTCATCACAAAGGCTGTCGGCGCTCTCGATAAGCTTAAAATTCGAAAATTGATAACTTTTTTCGATTAAAAATGGAACAAGAACAGACTGTTTATTGTTTACTTGAATGAAGACTGAGATGTTTGTGCCGTTATGCCAATGGGGATTGCTTGTTGTGAAGTGTTGGAATAGCAACATTACGACTGGGGTAAACTATAGTAACCTTTACTTGAGAGAAGAAAATTATCTTTTGGTTGATGTTGACTCTGTTCTTGCACTGAAGAAAACAGCGCTTTCCGCGGTGAAGATTTAGAGGCATTTGCATGTAAGCCTATTCGAAACACTTTGCGAATTGCAAGGCTTCGCTGAGAGAGCGAAACAGAAGACGGTAATTGCCGTTTGAAACAAAACGATCTGGACTCTGAACGCTCTCTTCTTTTGTAGAGTTCTTCACCAAATGGTATAACTGAAATAAATTTCGTACTTTCCGCCGCCAACAAGAATTGCACACACGATCTGATAAGTTAGACAATTTATTTATAACAATGGCGACAGCGAAGCACACATTAATGCTAATATGGTCGCACGACTTCCCTCACGATTTGAGAGATATGATGATTTTCTGTTGAAATTCGTCCTAATTTGACTGTTCCGATTTTTAATAGTTGAAAATGAGCACTTGCAAATTTGGCAATTAATGAATGCGTTGCTTGCTTTTTTTTTTAGTTAAAACGCATCCACTTACACATTGTTTATGTTCTGAATAAGCAGAGAAAACCCCGCAAATTTTAATGCGAGTTTGTTTGTTTAAAATATTTGGGTGCTGTCATTGGTTCTTCTTTGACAATTGACGGGCGAATGGGGCGTGTTATAAAAAGGGGCGTTTTACAAAATACCGGGTCTTGCTTGCAGGCCCACTATTCTTCCCTTGGGCCTGCACGCGGGCTATTAAAAGTTTTCCGAACATTCCGGAAGCGTATACGTCACCCATTGGTTCACCTTGGCTATAGAGCCTCGTTTTCGTGAATCCGAACGTACACGAAAACGAGGCTCTACGGCCAAGGAAAGTAAAGTTGTATTCCGGAAAGTACGTTCCATTTCTGTCAAATGTGAAGAATGATAACGTGAACTCGGATCATCTTGACAGAATTGAAATCTTCATGCGCAAATTCAGTGGCGTAGCGGAGGAACAGGAGGCCCTTAGACATATTTTGTGTGGGGCCGCTCCTGTTGATTGTTGTCATTGTTTGACTGAGATATTAATAACTTACTGACCGAGAGTGAGGGCAGTACGGGAAAATATCCAACCGAGGTCTTGCTCTATTGACCGAGCGATAGCGAGGTCAATACAGCAAGAGCGAGGTTGGATATTTTCCCGTACTGCCCGAACGGTTGAGGTCAGTAAGTTTTTTATTATATGGCATCTGCCTCGTACCCAGGCGCTTACATGAAGTATTCAGGTAGGCAACCGACGCGCGAAGGGGATGTAAACACGTCATATGGGCATCACTGTTTTTTACAAAGAGACGCCTGGGTACGAGGCAGATATGGCATTGTACGTTTGTAAAAAATTGAAGGTCACGCGAGGGCAAAGTACAAAGTCCGAAACAGTTTGCAAAAAAAGCAATTGTAAAAAACGTTCTCTTGGTTAGTAAAACTACTCTACAGCACTTTTTATATAGAATACTAACACAGTTTGGATAGTATTTCAAGAAAAATACGAGGTATTTCGTCATTTAATCAAAGACAACAAATATGAAAACAATAAAATTCAATAATAAAATTACAAAAACAAGGGGTACGTTTTTAGTTCGCTTCATCTCATATATTTATGTCTCTTTTTATCTAACAAAAACAGAAATTTTCACGGAAAGATTATAAATCTGTGGCTGCTTTAGTTGTATTTTTTTATTTAGGATGGTGTCAAATTCCTCCTTGCTATCTGCAAATAAAATTTGCAGCTCTTTACATAGTCAAAACACAACTATTCCTGACTGCTTTTATAGTTAGGCCAAATAAAAAAAAATACTTGGTTAGCGTCACCGCCCGCCTCTCGATTTTCTGCCGCCTCTGAATTTTTTTTAATTTTTTTTTTATGTAAATCTCTTCGTTTTACAGCTTAAAACAGTTTAATATTTGAAATTTTTTTCATGCTCAGACCTTCGCGCTATATACTGATCGATAGGAGCGCGTAGGCTTGGGTATACAAGGTTCTTAAAGCAAAATGGCGGCCTTCGCAACATCAGTACAAAAAATATCACCGATATGGTGGAAAAACCGCCCCCATCACCTCCAAAAATACTATTAAAAAATTAAAAAAACGAGTAAAAATTAAAAAAAAAATCCGCCCGCCCGCCTCTGAAAATTTGTGAGAGTGTGACGCTAACCAAGTATTTTTTTTTATTTGGCCTTATAAACATTGTAAAATTTTCCTTGTAATTTGACTTTCGCCAACAAAAACGTATTGAGAAAGTTCTTTAACCACAGCAGTTGCTCCTTTTTTTATTTTAGGTTTATTTTTCTTCGTTTTGAATAGTTTTGAAAGACTTTTAGACACTTTTTGCTGTTTGAAACTCGGCTCTCGTCGCAGGGCAATAAAAATTGCGTATTGCCCATGGGCAATACGGGAAAATCCTTCCTCGTCAGCAGCCAATCAAATTACGCGATTCGTCAAAACAAATGCTTGCCATATAATAATATATTTATATTGAATATTTATAGAATGTTCTGGAAAGTTCCGTGTCTACAACAGTGAAAATAACAGTCTCCAACTCTATGGGGCGCCAAATGTGTTTTTATTATTTAAACGTTTTATGTCGCATTTTCAAATGATTTAGTTAAATAACCAAATATCACAATGTGGTTATTTAAAATAACCACTTTTTGTCAAAATGATTTAATTTGGTTATTTAAAATAACCAATTTTTTTCGAAATGATTTATTTTGGTTATATCAAATAACCACTTTTGACAACATGCGGTTTATTTTGGTTATATCAAATAACCACTTTTGGCAACATGATTTAATATTTTGGTTATATCAAATAACCACTTTTGACAAATTGGTTACTTCAAATAACCAAAATAATTTTTCGACACTTGGCGAGCAAAATGACGTAGGATACAAAACAGATTTAGACACCCCTCCCAGGGGCTTCGAATGTCAACTTAACATTTCCGGAGTGAAAACTGAAAACATTGTTCGACTTCAACAGTTAGATTTGTATTTAATACAGTAAACCATTTTTACTTCTTTGCTTCTTGCCATGGCGTCAGAAAGGTTAGAAAGGTCGTTGACGAGGCAATCGGACGTACTATTCGCGAAACAATTAAGAGGCAATTTTTTTCAATGTCGCGTATTTGCGATGCAAAGTGTTCAAAACCTAAAATCTTTTTGGCCAATTTGGCGTTCCTCTCAAATTTACTTTGTTTTAGCTTTATTTTGTAGTTTACACAGTTAGCCGACCTTGTTAAATGTATCTGGCGGTTGGGAAATATAAAATAATAGTAAAAACTTGTCAATTTAAATACAATTATCATTGATACCATAGCAGCCCAAAACGGCGTGAAGAATGCACCAATAATGCTTCCAAATGTCAATTTGCATTAAGCTCGCCCCATTCCCTTGTCATTTGTCGCGCGCCGCAAGCACTCAATTTGAAAAGCAGTGTTGATAAACAGGTAGGCAACTTGTCTGAGCATGGGCGCAGAAAATCAATATGGCGACATATATTAGGAGTGTTTCGTGGATTTATCTGGTTTTAAAGTTGATAAAACAACATTTTAATGAACGAAAACTTTGTAATATTTAGTGGAAAATATTAAGCTGTGCATTCCACAGGTTTTAAATTAAAAATAAGTACTTTTGCTTTATTTTATTGCTTTTTATGCTTTGAAAACAGGCAAGCTCATATTTTTTCTAAAAATCTTATCTAATATTTTACCCATTATTTGTTTAATATGAACAAAAATAGATAGAACACTTGGCTATATAAGTTATAAAGGTATTGCTAGTTGATCTGAAAGATTTCAGTATTCCAGATACACATTTTAACAAAGAATAAAATTAAAATATATGCATATCAGAAACAATGGTTTTTATTAGAACAACACAGAATAAGTTGTTATTTTCTATTTTTACAAAAAACAAGTTTGAAAACAGGATCTAGTCCTCCAGCTTGATGTCATATTCCATTTATTTGGATATTTGAATAAAGGAATGTGAAATAATAATTGAAACTTGTCCAAAATTTGATACCAACACTGGAGTGAACAGATACTATCACCTAAAAATAAAAGAAAACAGAACTTCAATTTATCATAT